AACTACCGCATTTTGGAATAGATGGATAAGAGAATATCTGTAGACTTCCCCCCAAACAAGAGATAAATGGTCGAACGTACAAAAGAATTTGCAACTAGGAGACCTAGTACTCGTTAGCAATATTAAATCAAGTAGACGTTCATGGCTTGAAGCCATTGTTGGACAAGTAAGCTGTGAACCTGACGAACAAGTTCTTACGGTAAAGTTGAGAACGACAAACAAAGAAGTCGTTCGGAATTTACAAAGTCTATGCATACTTGAAGAAGCCGTGTATCTGACAACGACCTAGGACGATGAGCGTGGTGTGTTTCGGATGGAGTGTAAAGTGCGAACGATAAACTAACCCACCAATGACAGCATAAAACGTCCACCGCCACATTAACTCTCCTTGACTTTGCATGACTATGCATAGCTCAGTCATCAATCACAATTTTATGCTTATCATAAAACAGCATTCTCTTTGTTGACTCGCTTTTCTATCCTTTAGCTACCGTTCGGCATGTTATTTATATCTCTCTTTCCCCTTGTTTAATAGACTCCATTAATTGTTTATTTTGTATACTAACAGTTGATTAGTGTTTTAGAAACAAGGTTTATCAAGTCGAATAGCGCTGGCTAAGCTAAGACTCTTTTCGAAAATCTAAGGGAGAGTTTAGAGATGAATGTTCAGAAAATTACTTCCTGGAATATACTATCCTTATTTACAACTTCCAGCAATTCGTTTTATATTCAGGAACGATTATATCTGTTTAGTGCTGTTTTTCACGAATTTACTGATGACACCGACACTATGAAGTTCATCATATCGGTTGGGAAGTTTAAGTCATTGAATTCCGACGTCACAATCAAGCTTACCAATGTTTCCATTTAGAGGATTTCTGGTCATTAACTTCATATTCTTTGATACCCTTATTTGTACTTATCTAGTTCTGTCTGGCCTAAATTACGCTATCTCGAGAGTCCTTAGCAGTTATTTCAAATATTTATATTTATCATACACCTGCCTTGATATATTGTTTACAAACAATAGTACTACAACCTGAAGAAGCAACGGAACACGAAATAGTGTTGAGTACTGCGAGACAGATGATTCTAGAACTCAATAATAATAAGCAAAAGTGGTGAGACTGTAATAACTCATGTAGATTGGTTAAGAGTTAGTCTCAAACATCTTAATAATGTCAAAAAAATATAACTCAAGTATTCATTATCTTCCATATTTTGTATAGGCACTATATTTCCTATTATTCTATATTGATTATTGGACAACCTTTTGTATGAAGAAGGCAACCTCGTGCTCTAACTGTTCTGTTGGACGATCTAAATAATGACGTATTCATGCCAGGCCAGCAAAACTGTTCTGCTATAAGCTTGATGGTTGCACGAGCACCTGGATGCGAAAGTTTGTGCAATGTATTGAAGACATTGCGTCGATAGTGTTTCGGCACGATTGGGCGATCCCTATCTGTAGATGTGTCACAAAGTAAGGTTTCCTTACCTGTTCCCATCTGTTCGATACGTAACTTGAGGGTTGTGGACGGTAACTCGTGCTGAAGACCAGTATCTTCTTTTTGAAGTTCGGCGAGTTTAAGAAAGTCGATTCCTTGGAAACTGTTCAAGGAAGTTATGCGAGATAAGGCGTCTGCACCTACATTGTTTGCTCCAGAGATGTGTTGAATATCTGAAGTAAACTGCTTAATGTAGTCCAGTTGTCGAGACTCACGGGGAGAGTACTTGTCAGAAGGAGAGCTTAACGAGAAAGTGAGCGGTTTATGGTCCGTGAAAAGAGTGAATTCACGACCTTCGATGTAGTGTTGGAAATGCCGTGCAGCACAATACATAGCTAGGAGTTCCCTACCGAATGTGCTGTGCCTCGATTCGGTGTCTAGCAACCTTCTTGAGAAAAATGCCAAGGGTTGCCAGGAGTTGTTAACCCATTGTTGTAAGACTCCTCCGATTGCCGAGTCGGATGCGTCTACTGCGATGCTAATGGGTGCTCGGGTGTCCTGATGTGCGAGCATTGTTGCTTTAGCAATCAGTTCCTTAACTGTGGAGAATGCTTTTCGTGAGGTGTCGTCCAAATTAATGGATTTCGCATTTCCACGAAGTTGGTCGGTCAGAGGTTTCATAAGTAATGCGCATTTCGGTATGAAACGTCTATAGAAACTTACCAGGCCGTTAAACGTGCGTAACTGCTTGACGGTGGTCGGTTCTGGGTAGTCCAGAATGACCGCCACTTTGGTCCTAAGAGGTCGAATGCCTTGAGCATCGATAGTGTGTCCTAGGAAGTCTAACGAGTCGGTTCCAATTTGGCATTTCTGAACGTTTACAGTTATGCCATGTTTTTGAAGTCGTTCGAAAACAAGATCCAGATGCTTGAGATGTGTTTCTCTGTCCGGACTTGCGATTAGACAGTCGTCAACATACGCGTGTACGAAGTTGAGACCTCGAAAAACGTCGTCTATGAATCTTTGGAATGTTTGAGCAGCGTTCCTTAGACCGAAAGGCATTCGCAAAAATTCATAGAGTTTGAAGGGAGTTATGATAGCTGTTTTCGGTATGTCGTCAGTAGCCATAGGGATTTGGTTATACGCTTTAACCAAGTCGATTTTCGAAAAGACAGCTGTACCTTTCAAGGTAGCTGTCGAATCGTGAATGTGAGGCAACGGGTAACGATCGGGAATGGTTTTCGCGTTCAATCGCCGATAGTCACCAGTTGGACACCAATCATTGCTGTCCTTTTTAGGGACCATGTGCAACGGGGATGCATATGGGCTACTTGACGGTCGTATGATTCCTAAGTCTATCATATGGTCGAACTCATTTTTCGCTAACCTTAGCTTTTCGGGAGCTAGTCGTCGTGCTTTAGAAAATACAGGTGGTCCTGTAGTCGTAATGTGATGTGTAACGTTGCTGGTTACACACGGTAATCTCGGTTGCGTTTGTTGTATCCCAGGATACTTATCGAGAAGTGGCTGATAAAGTGGGTCTATCATATTCTTAATTGTGACTGGGGATAATCTGCAACCAGAGAAGAAAGTTACGCAAACGGATAAATTAGTGTTTCCGTCTGCTAGCCTCCGTTTGCGCGTATCGATGATCAGATTGTGATGTTGTAGAAGGTCCATACCAATGATTGGCATAGAAACATCTGCAACAACGAAGATCCAGTGGATGGGTTTGCGTAAACCCACGTTAAGGTAAACGTACCTTTTGCCATACGTAGCGATAGGTTTTCCGTTTGCCGCCTGTAAGTTAAGAGCCGATTCGTGGAGCTGGTCGCTAGGATTTTCTGGGAGAACGCTAACTTCCGCGCCAGTGTCGACGAGGTAGCGAACTCTCGTTGTCACATCTGTGACGTATAACAGACGGCTATGTTCGCCGGCTACGGTTGTCGTTAACACGTGCCGGCTCGGAAGTTTCCCGAGTCAGTCGGTTTCGTGTTGGGAAAATTGCAGGGTTTTCTGCAATTTCTGGAAAACTTTCCATACTAGTTATGATACCAGCACCAGTCGGGGTTATCTGTCTCTCGTGGTCTAGAGACAGATCGCTTACGAGAAATGCTTCTACGTGGGGTGCGCGATCTCTTACGGTTAGTACGAAGACTAAGATAACGCGTGAGTGTATGACATAACTCGGTTATATCATCCTGAGTCGTTTGAGGCTTTTCTTTGACTGAAAATACCTCGGTAGTAGAAGGTTTCGTAATTTCTAAAATGCGGTCGGCAGATGCAGCTAGCTCGTCTAAGGCGTTGTTCTGGAACGAGACCAGAACTGCTTGCACCTGTTTGGGAAGTTTTGACAAGAAGAGTTGTTTGGATAGACCTTCGTCGAAAGTTCTTGGTCCTATTACCTCTCTCATCCGTTGCAACATGTCCGTCGCAGAACCGTGTTGCAGGTCGATGTTATTGAAGAGTTGATCTAACCTTTGTCGATCGGTTAGGTCCCCTCGTTTAAGAATCGAGCGTTTTAAGATTTCGTAAGGATCGGAAACATAACTAGTAAACATACTAGGTGTTACGTACCTGTTGAATTCGCGCGGTAGTGCCTTGACCACTGCGAGGAATTGTGCACGTGTGTCGATCACGCCATGCTCGGGGAAGTCGGCTTCTGTGTAGCAAAACCAGGCTTCGATGTTGTCGGGCCAGAAAGGCATCAGTTGAAACGAAGGCGGGGACAAAGTCTTAAGCTTGGGTACTTTAGGTGTCTGTTCAGTCATGATGAAGTATGAAGTACGATAATGAACGAGGGTAAAGTATATATATATCCAAGAAAAAACACGAAAAAAAATCACAGTTTAAAAAATAAAAAATAAGGCAATGATATATAAAAATCCCAAAAAGGAACAGACACACAGTTGCAATTAGGTGTACCAGATCACGTCGGGCTCACCAATGAGGATGTCACAGGTTTTCAGTGTTTGACAACGCTTTTACCAGTAACACCTAATATAATTCGCTCCCACCCGGAGAAATCAAAAGACAGAGTCGAGGAGATCGGAAGAGTGTATTTGGCGATTACCAATATATCGGAATTCTCTGATCTAATCTGGCTAGCGATTGCGGTTGATGTTGAGCACAGCGTTACCACACGTGATCTGGTGCGGACGCATGACCGAGCGCCTTCAGCTAGATGAGTCCACTAAAACATATGGTCAGCATCCAATGTCGGAAACTTGGAGCTATTTATTTTGGGGATTTATTTACCGCTACAATGTGAATAAAGAAACAACGATCATAAAAAGAAGTGTGTGCATATCCAGTAAAAGGTTGTATAAAAGAATACAAAACAAAATTATGGCTAATAGCATACACAAAAACATTCCATCCACAAAAATTAAATGGATTTGAACAGGAAAAAATAGAATATAAGCAAACAGAAGACCATGAAGTCCGACGAACTTTAAAAAACAACATTGGTCAAATATATTAAAAATAATCATTAACACTCGGTTCACAAAAGATCTGCAATCACCGGATGTAAAATGTGGAAGAGCATGTCCTCATTCAGCGTCCAGATAAGCCAATAGGCTTCACCAACCAATATGGAAGGAGGGAGCACCTACAAAGAGCACAAAAAGTGTTCTCTTTTCCGCCATAGAAAAGTTTTTGAGGTTAGAAGTTCAAAAGTTTGTTACACAAAGCTTGGTATTTCCAGAGACTATTCCATCAGCTTGTTTTAATGGGTTCTGACATAGCTAGCCGCCTATTGTAATTGCGAAGAATGTACCGTAGACCTCAGTTTGATAGACTCAATCCTCGTAATGTCCTACCTAGTCGGCACACCCTCTTTATTAGAGGGCTTCCAGGGACGACAGATGTAACTAAAGTGAAGTAAGACGCTTCTTTCTTAGCTAACGTCCAGGGACTTCTTCTGTAATGAGACAAATTCCAGGTGCTCGGTGGAATTTTTTTCTACCTCAGAAGATAAGAAGAGATTCTCAGTTGCCATACGGTTTAAGTCCCACGAGATTGCCAGCGAGATGCTTCGTCGGTAAGCCTTACATTCATCTAATTTGCAGACACAACGGTAAAACAATGTTTGGTTACCCTGTAGAGCTAACTTGGTTCAAGGACCTCAAAAAAGCTAGAGCAAAGAGTAATTTGCGAAATTCACCCGAAGTTGCTTTTCCAGTGTATGAAGAGCGGCGTCAGGTTAGACGCTTTCCTCCAAACCAACGGGGTTTCAGAGGCTTAGAAAAGAGTATACCATCTCCTGGAAACTATGGTGATGCTAGACGGATCCGGACGGGCTCTTCCTCCTCAGGCGGTCGGGGGTATAGAGATAACGGTAGAGACCGTAGAAGCATGGATCACAGAAGTGCGGATCGTAGGAGCTTAGACCGTAGAAGCATGGATCGTAGAAGTACAGATAGAAGAAGCACGGAACGCAGCACAGACAGAAGAAGCACGGAAAGGAGAAGTGTATCAAGAAGTCGATCATTCACAGGGTCATCGTCAAGGAGCGCTAGTAATTCAGGCAGATCTCGGTCAAGATCAGTATCTCGTACAAGGTAAATTGTCTCGCATGTTTGCCGTACACTAACTTCATATGGTATTTCGTGCACGTAACTTGCATCGGTAGACCTGGGTGTTTCCTAATGTTAGTAACTTACAGTATTTCGAGTGTCGTCTATCCAGACAATTTTCGTAAGTACGATAGACAGCAAGTCTGTTTACAAAGTACTGCATGTTGTAAGAAAATATGAGACTATTATTTATCGACGACCTTTGAGGGAGGCCAAAGTGACCTTGAGCGTGTTTACCTATTTACTAGGGCTGAATGAAGATTATAAAGCAGTTTGAAGAGTAAGGATTATGATTAGCCGTTGATGTTTAAGGTTAGGTATTATATTTAAGACTTCGTACGTACGTACATCAGTTCGAGTTGCCACACCACCTTAACACAGAGATGCAGTTGTCGATTCAAATCCCGTAGTGGTAGAGGTAGCAAGAGTATAAACAGTAATCGGGAAGATTAGGGTTTGGAGATGTTATTTAAAGAGTATAATACAGTGAAATAAATTTGGAAAGAGGAAAAAAGGACATGAAGAATTCAGATTAGAATTTGGGAGGACACAAAGAGTGGATGCACCTGTGCCATTGCAAACGATTTTGAGCCATGTCATTCAGGGTCTCTAACCATCGGTTGCTATCATCTCGTGGTCCCCAACCAGGTAGTCTACACCTACCAACATGACTCATTCTACTTGCCAGTGACTTCATGGACTTGTGCCATGTTTTGGTTTGGCCGCCCCTAGCTTTCTTCCAACCTACTCCTATACCACCGAACATAGCACGTCGAGGTAGTCGGTGGTTGGGCATACGTAACACGCGTCCCAGCCATCTCAACTGATGAAGTTTCACTACTTCATCAATTGATTTGCCATCCTTACCTAGTACCCGTTTCCTAACAACTGCGTTACCTACTCGATGGTCCCATGATATACGAGCAATGTTTCGAAGACACCTATGATCAAATACTAGTAACCTACGAATATCCCCTACTCTTACCGGCCATGTATCACTGCCATAAAGTAGGACGGGACGAACTGCTGCGCAGTAAACACGTCCTTTGGTTGGTAGACGGATATCTCGCCTACACCATAAATGACGCACGTTGGGAAAAGCTAGTCGAGCCTTCTGTTTCCGTGCTGAGATTTCGTCACACACCAGACCACAAGGGCTGATGAGACTTCCAAGATAAGTGAAGCGGTCGACACACTCAATTACTTCACTCCCTATCACTAGTTCGGGTGTCGATGTAACCCAATCCTGAAGCAACATTTTGCATTTCGAGGGGGAGAATCGCATCCCGAACATGCTTGCATTGTTGCTTAGAGTGGTCAGAAGACTGCATTTTGTCAGCGTCTTCACCAAATAGAACTGTCATCGGTATATTCCAAGTCAACAAGTGAATCTCCTGGTAGAAGTTCAACCCCTGGAAATCTAGACGAGGAAAGTGTGTTCTTTAAAAGTACGTCGACGACAAAGTTGAACAAGAATAGAGAGAGTGGACAACCCTGACGAACACCACTTGAGGTAATTAATTCTGATGACAGTTCGCCATAAGGTCTCACTCGACCAGTTGTGTTCGAGTACAGAGCCTTTACAAGGTTAATGTACTTCTCTGGCACTCCTTTCAGTGACAAACACTGCCATAGAACCTCACGATCAACAGAGTCGAATGCAGCCTTAAGGTCGAGAAATACTACCATTGTGGGGCGTCTGAATGTGTGTCTGTGTTCTAGAACCTGACGTAGTGTGAATATCTGATCTATACAACCACGCCCAGGTCGAAAACCAGCCTGATTTTCTCTAGTCTGCTCTTCACGAGCTTTCGTTGGGCGTCGAAGTATTATTGAAGCTAATATTTTAGACACTATATTTGTCAAACTGATTCCTCTGTGATTGTCACAAGAGGACTTTTGTCCTTTTTTATAGACTGGCACAATCAGTGATTGAGACCAGTCAGATGGGATTACGTTCAGTTCACAAATTCTACCTAAGACCTCGGTTAATCTCATTGTTAATACTGGACCACCATCCTTAAAAATCTCAGGAGTAAACCTGTCAGGGCCTGCTGCTCTCCCTCGCTTCAGATTTTTTATAGCTTTTTCAACTTCGCAAAGAGTCGGAGGACTTACATTAACTTGCCATTCAGGTAGACTGGAGATCGTGGGAAACCGTGTGTCTGAAGGCCAGTTGAACTGACCCCTAAAGTCTTCTGCCCATCGATCTAATCTCCTGGATTGAGAATGTATAATATGTCCATCTTTCTCTGAGATTGTTTTGCTAACAGTCGGGTTCCTAATACCGGTTTCCTTAACGAGTCTGAACAATTGTTTGCTATTACCTATTGCCGCTGCCTTTTCCATCTCTCTTGCTTTCGCTACCCACCACTGTTCACGATCATTGCCTAGATTTCTTGTCAGCTTGCGCTTAAGCTGACTCCGCTCTTCATTATGTTCAGAGCCAGGTGGAATGAGTTTCCGAGCATCTACCAGTGCGATAGATGCTGCTGAGATCCAGTGTTGCTCCCTAACCTTCTGGTTTACCTTACTAGCAGATATCACTGCTGTTTCCACAGCTTTTCGGATATCATTCCATGCTGCATCGGGGTGGGCATCACATACATGGCTGTCTAACTGTTTTCCTAGTTGTTCCTGAAATATACTCTTAGCTTGACTATCATTAAGTAGGCCCCTAAGAGGTTTCCTTGCAGCGTCTTTCCTACGTCCAGTAAGACGCAAGCAAATACGCGCTCGCACTAGAGCATGATCTGAATCTAGGCATGTGCTCCAGAATGAGCGACAGTCTTCTATCGAGCCCCTTTCAGCCACGACACCATAAAATCCACCCAGGTGTCTTTCCCTATCGCTTAGTTTACTTACTTGAGCATTAACATCACCGGCCACGATTACTACATCCGAGCACCTAGCTTTTCGGAGGTCGGAGAGCTTTTTGTAAAACTCATCTTTTACATCATCTGCGCTGCAGTCAGTGGGAGAATAGGCAGAAACGACGAAGAGGCAACGACGAGTGTCCCTATCTTTTCGGATCCTTACTGTTCCGTTTAGTCGGACAGCGCACAAACGACTGTCTACTGGGATCCACTCTAAGAGAGCTAGTTCTGTCCTAGGACTCAGTGCTATACCTACGCCAGGGATGCCATGGGAAGCAGAATCAAGGCTTCCAGATACACGAAGTGTGGATCGAGTCGGTTCTTTATTTTGGCATGGTGAGGTCAAATGAATGACGCTACTCGGATCCTGTATGCGCGTTTCGGTGACGCAGCACACATCGATGGCGTGAGATTCTAAAGTCCTAGCTAAGGAAGCCTGCTGTCCTATTTGGCAAAGTGTTCGGACGTTAAAAGCTCTTACGTGTAGTTTAGAGCGTGGTTTCAGGAGACCAGGAATAGCGTTCCGCGTACTCGAATCGTTTGCCCTAGCGGTGCGAGGTGATAAAGAGACGTGAGGAGGGTTAGTCATGGAGATAAGAGAGGTATTAGGAGGTGTAGGAAGGATTTGAATGTGACCAACTTGGTCTCGTGTGATGTTACGGGTATGAGGGCTGGTGTCACTTCCCGGCTACCCACACCGTGGAAGGGTGTTTCTTGAGGAACCTGAAAAGGAAATTGGATTAGTGTTGGTCTTGACGACCTGGGAGCGTGACCGCAGAGCCCAAGGAACAACTGCTTGAGGCCGGTCGTGCACGGCCTTTTCGTGGAAGGTTTTTAATGTGTTAGCTCCGTTCTTCAAAGGGCCTCCGGCCGGAGACGAAAATCTGTGAGGTAAGGTGAGGTGTGACATTTGTAGGGTCGAGCTTTTTTAACCCCTTCTTTCCTTATGAGAAAGCAGCATCGCTGCAGATGCTGGTTGTCCGAGGGAAACACCTGACTGCTGTCACACCCCTCTACAGTCAGCAGTACGACTTCGCCCTCAGACCTTGAGTTGCTGCTTTTCGTCTTACCGCTCTCCAATCGACCTGCCTTGTATGGTAGAACCTACAGGAACATATGTTCCAGCCAATATAGCTCGGTTGGGTCATCACGATAGGCAAGCCCGACCACCGCGTCAAGGTAGCAGCTTCAGTTGGGACTTGCCCGGTGATCCCAACAGATGTGAGGAATATTTCTGAGATATCTATGACCAAATACTAGCAACTTGCGAGTATCTTCTACTCCTAATCGCCACGTTTCGCAGCCGTGACGTAAAACAACGAACTACTGCGCAATGTACTCGTCTTCACCATAGGTGACGTAGGTTGACGAAAACCAAACGAGCTTTTTGAAGCCGTGTAGAGATTTCGTCAGACACCGATCAATTATGGATGATCAGACTTCCAAGGTTAGTGAGGTTGTCTACGCGTTTGACTACTTCACTCCTTATCCTTAGTTCAGGTGGACGGCCTTGACGGTCACCACTTGAGGCTGCAAAACCAGATGACAGTTAGCCATAAGCTCTGACTCGACAGATAGTGTTCTAGTAAAGAGCCTTCACACTATTTGTGTACTTCTGAGGTATATCTTTCAATGCCTCTCGGTCTACAGAGTCAAATGCTACTTTCAAGTCAAGAAAGACCACCATTGTCGGATGCTGATAAGTATGCCTGTGTTGTAGAACCTGACGAATAGTGAATATTTGATCGATGCGACCACGACCAGGTCCGAGATCGGCTTTAATTTCTCGTGTTCACAGTTCACGAGTCTTCGTTAGGCGTCCGATAATTATTGAGGCTAGTATTTGAGACTCGGTCACTTCATCCAAAGACTATCAATTAGCCATGCAGTTTCTATCTTGATAGGATATGCTGTTTCCACATATTAAACAACGAAGTTTCATGCAGGTGATGGATAGGCATGAATAACACAAGTGTCTACAATGTCACAGAGTTATTAACCCATCGATCACCTGTATCTGGCATTATTTACCTGACAGATGAAAACAACTCATGCAGTAGTTTTATTGATGCTCAAATAAATGCAAATTAACCATGTTCTTCACTTGCACAGGTTACATATGTGTTTACAGTTCACGAGTCTTGGTTAGGCGTCCGATAATTATTGAAGCTAGTATTTTAGATGCTATATTAGTCGAACTAATCACTCCATTGTTATCTCAGGATGATTTCGCTCCCTTTTATATTGGGTCAACCAGTGATTGCGAACTGTCAGATGGGATTACGTCCAACTCCCAGATTTTGTCTAAAACAGCTAACCTAATCGCTAAAATTGGACCATCATACTTGAAGACCTCAGGAGTCAATCCATCTGGACCAGATGTTTTTCGTCATTTCAGATTATCTATAGCCTTGTGAATTTCGGCTAGAGTCGGGGGGCCTACTTCAGTATTCCATTTGTTTTGTTTGGGGGTGGTGGGTAGTTGTAGAGTAGCTGAAGGCCAGATGAACTGCTGCTTAAAGTGTTGCGCCCGTCGTTCCAAACGTCTGGGCTGAGAGCAGAAAAGAGTGCCATCCTTTTCCTTGATCGTCTCACACTTGACTTCTTAGTTCATTCCTTTCATTAGCCTGAAAAGCTGTCTTGTGTTATATACAGCCTCCGTCTTTTCTATCTCTTTTGCTTTCGTTGCCCACCACTGCTCGCGGTCGTTCCTTAGACTTTTGGTTAACCTAGATCTGGTTTGTTTTTGTTCTTCATCGTGTTCAGAGTCTGATGGAATGAGTTTACAAGAATCCACCAGTTCAGTAGACTTAGAAGAGATCAATTAGTTTCTTGTGACCCTTTGGTTTAAATCAGTAATGTCACTTCTGTTTCCACAGCTGTTTGTGTATCTCTCCAAGCACCATCCGGGTCAGCCTTGTTTTCAGAACTACCTAAGTGTGACCTTAGTTCCTGGAATCTACTTTTAGCTTTCTCGTCACTTAATTCAACTTTAGTGGGTCTTCTTAATGTCCCTTTTCTGCGTCCAGTGGGGCGCAAGCAAGTGCATGCTCGTATTAGCATGGTCGGAGTCCAAACAGTCTTCTGTCGAGCCTGTCCAAAGATGACTGATGGCTACATGGTCTATTAGAGTCCATCGTTGGTTTGACACAGGGGGTTCCCATGTTAGACGATGTCTGTTGTGACCTTAAGTTCGGCTAGTTATCACAGAAATATTTCGCCAATCGAAGTACTTATTCCCTCTTGTACTGTAATAAACCAATGACGTTCGACCTGTCTGATCAGTCTAGCGTCCTTATTGGTCCTTTGTTCGCCTAGTTCGTCCAACTGAGCCCAGAACAATAACAGCTTCCGCTATGCGAATCATTTGTTTCAAACATACTTGGCTTATATACCAGACAAACAGATCACATCACACCATAAAATAAAAAAATTATACACAATAAAGCCAAAAAGTGGCTATGAACGTGGGAGACTGTAATCAATAAACTGAACATAAAAACAGTCAATCGTATAATAATAATTTATAAGTCAAAATGAGGCTTATTATAAGAGGAATATAGGTATACATAACCTAATTACTGAATAGTTTTACCATAAGAATGTATAGATAATATTAGTCCTAATAGTTCTCAAAAGTTACTCGTAAATTAATCTTCGCTAGGATATAACAGTCTCTCCTTATGCTTACAATTAGTGCTTACTAAAAATAAACGATTGTCTGAGCCCAGTTGCAGCAGACGATCGCCATTATCTGTTCGCTGAGCCGGAATACCAAAATACCCACCTAAATGTCTTTCTGTTCGGTCTAAGCTTCCTACCTTGGCATTAAAGTCGCCTGTTACGAGTACTATCTCTGAGTTTAGCTTTTTGAAGAAATTCAGAAAGCTTTCTGTAAAACTCATCTTCCACTTCATCCGAGTTGCAGTCAGTGGGAGCGTAGGCTGAAACGACGAAAAGGCAACGACGTGTGTCCCTATCCCGAATTTTTCATAGTGGACCAGTTGAATTGTTTGTGACCGGTAGTAGCATTATGTTTAGTGCCACTAACTTGTAGTATCAGACCTAGTTGACAAGATTGTCAGTAAAACATTTGGTGGAAGATGATTTGGTAACATGCTGAAGTGGTAGCAAACAAAATCTCTAAGCTTACTAAATATATACAGAAATATACTTCTCTATTCTGAAATTAATAGCCCTTGGTGTCAGCGTCCTTATATGGCCAGTTTTCGCAACTGGTAGTTCTTCGGTTCACCAAAAGTGTTTCGTGCAAAACCTTACGCGTAGCTCCTACCAAAAACCCGGTAAGATTAAGCTGTTCATATCCCTTAAATACAATGTCGAAGATTTTCAAAGATATTTATTTAAGTGGGTTTCATGTCGAACATAAATTTTTAAAAACTAATTAGTTTCTCTTAACGAGCTGTTTGGGTAACTTACAGATCTATGCTATAGCTAGTCCTTCTAAGAGAAATCAAGTTGTAAATGTTTCGACAATTTTCCATGCTGGTTGTACCGTTGTATGATGTAGTAAATTGATGAATTTTGAGTAATATAAAGAATTAAGTAATTCTGTCACTACATGTCCCAAGATTTTACTGATAAGATTGTTTTGCTTCTAGGCATTCTTTGCCTTCAAATCCGGGGGATTCAATGCATGCAAGTGAATCTGAATTTAATGGTCACATCTACGACGATCGACGTGTCTCTCGCAACCTCTCTCGCCATTCTCATGATCGAAGTAGTAGCAGTAGTCAATCTTCAGAGGAGCGAAAGCGTCAAGGTTCGTCTAAACGTCGCTCGTCAAATAGAAATAATGAACAATATGATCAAAGTGCCGATGAAAACTCATCTCCAGATTACCAAACTCGAAGAAACCAACAAGTTTCAAGCAAGTTTTCTTTGCTGTTTTCACACTAACGTGCAACAAATCCCTTCAGTTTTTCAATTTTTACGCGTCTTGTGTGACTTTTTTGTTTCGTAATTTGACATCACTCATCGTACGTTAATAAGTTTCTTGTATTTTCCAGGGTCACCCTCAATGAGCGAACGAAACCTTGCTTTCTCAAATGCTCCTGCTCCTAATCCGGAAGATGGGTCTTCACTGGTAAGTGGACTAATACAACTAAGACGCCATGTTCGACAGGGTTTTGAACAGATATCTGTTCGAGGTGGCAGTTTTTCCAGAAGAACACGCCACTCTTCAGAAAATTCATCTTCAGGTGCCTCGGTCGCCAGTTCCAATGGTGCTTTTGATTCCCCTAGAAATCGCAGTGGACGCAAACGGATGCATTCTATTTCACCACCCTATAATGATGTTCGTAATCGTACCACCAAGTCCAAGACTGAAGCCGCTTCAAATAGTGATGAAAAAAACCAACCTTCAGTCGAATCTCAGAAACGTAGAAAAACAAGGATTACCCATTCACCAGCCAACAAGTAATTAAATTTAATCTTCAGTCTCACTTCAGAATGTCAGATATTTTAATGTATATTTATTCTAAATGATTTTCTAGATCTTCAACTTATTACACTCACATCCAATTTGGTGCCCCAATTGTCGTGCTGCATTTTTCAAACTTCCTGACTAAATCAGCAGTAAACTGAGTATGATTGTTTTTGTATGAACTGTAGTGGTCACTGATGGAAATAAGTTTTAAGGGGTTTGATCGGTAGTTTTCAAAAGACTTTTAGAAATAACTTGTCAAACTTATTTTCTTTGCTGTTTTCATGCTCAACTGAAATCAAGTTATGCAGCTAATATTGGCATCCTACTTGGTGTACCACACACCTCAGCAACTAAATACAAGTTCAGTTTTAATATGTAGAGGCTTGATGCTCTATTTCTTTACAAAAGTCTAACTAGATTAAGCGGTTTTCCAGTATATGACATATTGGACGTCAAGGATTTTAACATTCATTTCGTTTTAAGTAAATTCATTTTAGTCCCAACGTTTATCAATTATCTTTCCGAACACGTGTTGCTATTATTCACCTCGTTCATCTCGCCAAAAACTTGGCGTATTTTCTTTAAATATTCCTCTTCGGAAGTTGTATCAAATACCAACTAGTGAGTCTACTGGGCCCACGGCTACTCTGAGGACGTTGTGTCGAAGTTCCTGTTTCAAGTGTCCACACTAATTACAGATCATTCGAAACAAAATTGGTCGTTATTATCCTTACTCTTTTACTTATTGGTGCAGCGAAACAATTCAATTCACCAATTAGGTACGTGACTCCAGATCACGTGTATTATGGAAGGCTAGTAATACTATCTGGTTGCCCAGGCTAAATCAAACTTGTGATGCAGTTTCTGAGTCGACTGCGTAAAGCAAAGGATTGCTGCCTCAATAAGCGACAAATTTTCATTCTTATCGGTTTCAGTTCAATGCTAATCAAATAATTGTTCGTGTTGTCGGCTATAACCGATACTACACAAACCAGAATAAAAGAAATAGTTCAAACCTACGACCCAGTGGTTAAAAAACGCGGACCCCAACCAAGTAGTCTGTATCTGCCAACATAGCCCAGACGAAAAGTTAGTGACTTAAAGAACTGATGCCACGTTTTGGTTTGGTCGCCCCAAACTTTCTTCCGACCGTCTCCAACACTAATCAGCATTGCGCGTCGTGGTAATCAGTAGTTAAGTGTGCATAATACGTGGCCCAACCATCTCAGATGATGTAGATTCAGAGCCTCATCAACTGACTTGTCATCATTCTAATCGAACCTCACTATTACTTGCCTGGTGATCCCAACAGATGTGAGCAATATTTCTGAGACATCTGTGATCGAATACTGGTAACTTGCGGCGTAGTCAACTACGTGTTTTGAACAATCATATTTTGTTTTTTAAGTGTCTACCATTTTGCGCCTTGTGACTTCAACTTTCCGTCCATCTCCTGTGTTGTGGCGGTTTCCTGTTATTTTGTTAGAAGAGATTATTGATTGTTAGAATCAGTAAATAGGATGTTTGTCGATTAATGAAGCCTACGATATAATGTGACAGTAATGGGTACTCACGATACCGTAATAGTTATGTAAGCCCCCGTAATAATTGCAAGCAAAATCTAAATCACTAACCAAATAAATAATTTCTCATGTAATAAAACAACATGGTTATTTACGAAATATAAACACAATAAACGTAATAAAATGTCATTGTCAAATGAAGGAAATTGACTCGTCGGTCACTCATCCGCCAGTCGATGATCTAACTGTTAGGTTTATTTTTTAGGCATTGTATTATTCGTCAACATAATTGAGGAGAAATTTTAGTATAGTATCAATACTGTTTATCATGCGTATTTCTAGATTTTCATTATTTTTACTGGTTTCGTGCATTTTAAAAGCAGTGCTTAAAACCAAGATTACGAGTATTTATTACCACAGATTTTTTCTGGATTCACTACTTTTGGTATTAAGTGTACGGCATAAAGCAAATACTTTTAGGTAAAACATTTTCACAAGGTTAAGATAAACTGATAGTTGAGTTTTTGATTACCTGCCCATAGGGTGTCATCAGAAATCAGCTATCATTGGAAAGGTTTGATAGAAGACTTTCCGTCCTACAGAAGTACATGTTTGGACTCCGATAACGCTCTACTGAAAGCATACGTTTCCACACACAAAAAAGTAACAACACAAACTTTAGTTCGTAATTGGAGAACGAAAATATTAAGAATGTGATCGCAAAAGAGATTCCATCTCAATGATGCTTGACATGATATCCTAGAAGATAAATACAAAAGTGATTGCTGTCTGCAACTCAGATCGGAATTTTGGGAAATACTATTTGAAGAAATCCTGGGAGGTTCGGGAAACGATAAAAAACAATGTACTTTAACATTAGGTTTACGCATTGACTGTAGAAGGATGTGGGCAATAACAGTAAAAGAGATAGAAAAGGCGAAGCGATAATTAGTACTCGATAAACTCATAAACCAGGGAACGAAAGTCAGGCGTCAGTAAAACTATCTGGAAAAAACAAGACTCGTATACTCTTTTTCAACGACATACTCGATATGTTATGAACCGTTTTCGGTTACTTTATTCTGTTGGGCCTTGGCTTAATTATCTTTTATTAGCATGCATCTTTTATAACGTGTTTTTAAACAAATTCATTAGCAGCACAGAATCTCTCCCTGAGCCACCCCATACTCGAAGTAAAACTCAAAGAACCAGTCTTCAAAAAACACCAAGGGTCGAAAACTCAACAACAATACGTCAAACAAATGCCGATCGTAAACAGAGACCAAGTGCTGTCAAAGCAGATAAAAAATCTACAACTAAAGATTCTCCCCCAACGATTGAAAAAAGTACGTCGAAGAATTCTCGACGCTCGGATACTGCACGTTCTCCACTGTCTTTAACATCACGTGCAACCAAACGTTGGCGAACTCCAGAAGATGAAGTCAACGATGACCATCTCCATAAAAAGGAAAAATGGCCCTCAACTATCAATAAATCGGCTAAGCTAAAGAAAAAGTCTGCCATTTCATCGGCAAATAATTCTAGCGATAATGATCATTCGGATGCTTCGAAAGTTGATGGTAATCAAGTGACCATCTCAAGAAATAACAATATTAAAGCAAAAGAATCTTTGAAACCGTTAATTAAAAAGTCCAGTTCATCCTCAAACAGTAAGTTATGCTAATATCTTATTGTTTGCTTTCCTTACACCTGTGATTGTAGTTCAAGGGTCGCGATTAACTACTGAATTTTTTACTGGAGTACAAAATATTCTGTTCTGTAGACATTTGACTATTTTGTTTTTCATTGTAGGATTAATTCTTTTTGTGGGAAATTTGAAATTTCTCAAAATCAGGTCTCCTTTCTGTTTACGATAGCTTATTAAAACACAGACTGATATCACTTCCTAAAATGAGACATTTACAACCTCACTTTAAGTCATAAGTATGTTGTCTCAAACAGGAAAAGTGCAACAGTTTTTTTTGTGTCCTAACAAGATATGCGGTCACATACTTACATCTTTACTTGATTCCTTGATTGACAGCAAGAATTAAGTTTTTCCTGTTAATCAAACGGAAATTTTTTAAGTAAATGTTTTTTTATAATGACCGACTACATGAGCAGATAGACAATATTTTCACGACTTGGAACAGGGTATTTCGATTCTGCTCGGACAAACAATGTGTCATCAATTTAGCAACTATTAACTTCTTTAAAGATTTAGTCAAACCGCCCTGATAACCAAAAATCATAGTCTATTGTTAATGCATAGAATTGTAAGAGAATTAAACAAAAGGCTCCCACGTAGCATTTATTCAGTTGCTTAATGTGTTGTTATAATAAGACACTATCCACGGCGTATATATACCATAGTTTAAACACATGATGATAGGACATTTTATGCTTTCAAAGTCATTTAATATCGGTTGTGCTTAACCAATTGGTATATCTAATGAGTATTTCATTTTATGAAATACGGGCTCAATACCTTTTTCACCTCCGATTTTCTTTGCAAATCAGTGTTCATGTGATCTGTTCTGAAAATGTGTGAGTATTTACCTAATTAACTACGAATATAGGAACCAGCCTTTACGTGATTAAGATGTAGGATGTAACTCCTAATACGAGTCGTTCACTAATATCCACTCAGTTCGATTTTATTCCAAATTAGACTATATTTTGTCAGAAATGATGCAAAGCATTTATTACTTTTGGTCTTTGTTTTTTGTTTAACTTTAAAAACATTAGTATTTTAATCGTTTCACTTGAACAATAGCATTTATGAGAATCAGCAGGACAAAATTCCAACCACTTTCAAATTTCTGCAGTCAAATATATTAATCAGTTGGAAATTAACAAGAATATATTAAAATCTCTGTTATTGGTCAGTGCATTTAACCAAATAAATAAACTATAGTGGATCCGATACCTCAGATATAATGGTTTATGAACGGATACTTTGGTCCTGATGTCTGATTAAATAAATTTTATTTGTTTATAAATCAAGCTAGATTCATCTATACTAAGAGGAAAATCAATGTATATGCAGCTTATTATCAGTACTTTCTTTTGTACTGCACTCAATCGTACATTATATAAAATGCAATATATATGGGAATTTTCATTGAAATATTCATTCGGTAGGTTTTATAGACACAGTAGACCTTCAGATTTTCTGTCTACTTATGTAAGTCAACCAGTAGAAATTCGAAAGTTAGCTATTGTATGTTTACACACTGCTGATAAGTTTTGTTGAGTGTAAAATGATTGTATATTCTGCTATTAAACGAACTAAACTCGTTTTCACGTTGCATTGTTTATGGTTAAGATCTAACTAGTTGTAGTCACAATTCGTTCCCTATAATATCACATTAAAATTCGTCGGTGTATAAGACAACCAAATGGCTTACTTTGACTAATTTCGGCAAGATACAAACTACACTCAACAATTTTCCTGTCGTATAAAAAACTCTAAGCTTACCATTCAGTGTGTATCTACATCAGTTTTCGTTTCGTCTCAGTCCATTAAGCACCTGAGTAACATGTGTGTATACACATGCACAAGACTTATCAGTTCCATAAAAGTGCTGTATATTAAATAATAAAAGATTAATCCAAAGAACCCTATCCATTATTAGTTAACTAGATAAAAATGAACATAAATATGCAATATTATCTCCTGTCATACCAAATGCCGTAGTTCCGAGGCATTTTCCCGACAAAATTTTAACGATCATAGTATGACAATTCAATTTTCATGTTCTACTTTTATTTTTGTCCTCAAGATAAAATGCACATGTAATCGGCAAATTGTCTTTTAAGTGTCACAAATTTCATCAAAACCTATGATCGTTACACTTCATTAAATCTAAAAATTTCAGTCACGGTATGATTTATTGAGCTTATTTTTACCAGGTACAGTTTCAAACTACACTTAATGTAGGGATTGGTTGTACTAAATGACTACCTAGACGACGTAAATAAGTTGGTTAAAACTTGTGTAATATTGATTAGAGGTCGAATGTTTTGACCATCAAGTCATGGTTCCATTTTCGAACTAATTTTCATTAGTGGTATACATTCGAGAGGTTTGGTGTTTAATCTTGTTTGGGTGGTCAGTCTCTTATTTGTTAAGTAGACTTAATCATAACGTTCGAGATGAATTAGCGTTGTTTACCAGATTATTGACTGACTTAATGTGCCATGTATTGCTTCTGAATTCTAGGTAACAATCAGTCAGTTACCGTCGGCTCTGCATCATCTTTCAATAATGAAGAAAATGAGTCAGGTGATTGTTCAGATGATGTAATGAATCTGATTCGTGATCGTAAAGATGCCCTGGCAGAGGTAACTATTTATTTTTAATGCTTTAATATATTAAAAGGATTATAAACGGGATTGCGAGGCATTCACTACAGTCGTTCGCATGCTAATAAGGTAATTTTTATTTGTGTCCGTAATGTATCCTTCCTCTTACGCTTAAATCTAATATAAATCTGTGCTTTGGCAATTTTAGCATTACATGGCAATATTCTCTGCCTACGGATAAGGGCTGATTTCTTACCTTCAGAGTATGGAACAGTGAATTGATTTATAAATAATGGATATTAATATGAATAATTACGTTAGATGCCAGCCAATATGTCTGAGACTCGTACGGTGCCTACCTGTTAACGGGCCACATGCTGGTTGTGTAATTTAAATATACACTCAACTACGCCTACAATTCCAGTTGGCGTTTGCTCTTTTGTAGAATGTTTTGATTGGTCAGACAATTGTTGATTGGGTGCTTACTTTCATCCTCGTTCGTGTTTTATCGAACCTGGCAATAATGTATATTTTACCTCGATTGGCTGATGATTTTCACATTATTCGTGTTGCTCGTTCTGATGCTGCAATTATTGAATTGTCGCCATCCATTGTCTACTTTATGCATTAATCATTTTATTCTAATGTCAATGTGTAAAACTACTGTTTTCTACAAAAGTAAGTGGCTAGATTCTTTTTTTATTTTTCCTTACATTGCGCAGTAGCTGTCTCTCCCTACGCCTGTATATCGCTAATTAACATGAGGCTATACTTGTTACACTTGGTAAATGAGAAGTTTCTGCACCAATTGCTGGGTCTGTTTTAATGAAGTCCTATGAGGTTGAATTCCAGTGCTCAATCACCCTTTGCAAAGACGATTCACTCATATTTTTAAAACCCGTAAAGAAAGTCTGACAATAATCCGAATTCTTGGCGAATGCAATTCGTATTTTGATTATCAAAAACTGTTGAATCTACCTATGGTGTTTTATGTTAGGCTCATCAAAGTTACTAACACCTACCACCCCTGTGATATATGTGACCTACTATGAACGGATATATATCTTACCAGTATTGTCTGTCATATACTCAACTAAGTTATGTCGAACAATGTTAAGTTCGATATTTGGTGCACACATTTGTTTACATCTGGACAAAGTACGAGTACATTGTTCAACACTGTTCTGCATGAGCTTACTGATGTGAGTCATGGACTGTAAACCTAAAGAACGTGCTTGAAATAATTTGATCAGTGTGGTCAGCATTGGTAACCTGTGATGGGATTGATGAGCAATCTTGATTTTTAGGTGTAGAGTACTCTATGCAAGTGATCAAACGACCAATAACTTTGTGGATGTTAGGTTTTATATGTGGTCACATTTGGTCAACCGTCTCCCACCTTGTTGCGCCATGCTGACGTCAGAGTAAAAGTGGGTTAGGAAAGAGGAACCAAGAAATTATGTGGAGCTACTAGCTACTAATCCAAACTATGTAAGGAAATTCAGACTTCGTGATTGGTTGCAGTTACCCACTTACTTTTATTTTCTATCCCCATTTAAAACTTAGTCGTATTATTGCAACACAAGTCCTCTAATTCTTTGGACTTTCACTTTTCTCAATTTCTTCCAATTCTTTGCTTTCCCTCTTGTTGATTTCCTCTAATGATATATGACGAGACAAGATGTGATCTGCAACATCTTTAACCAATGCCTGTCTCAGATCCTATGTTCTTTCTGCTTGTCTACTTGTGTATTTCATATTTTAGGATAACATTAACTTATATTGTATGTGGAAAACTACATGGCTGAATATCTCTTAGTGTTCAGTATTTGAACTCTAATAGTCTTAATCATCCTGTTTGTCGAGTTCCCATCATTTTTATCATTTGAATTTCTCGTTGTTCCAGTGACGACATTCATACAATGGCCATATATTTTCTCATCCAACCTGATATACGACCCTTTGCAAGTTCAATAACTTGTTTGTTTTAACGAATTCAGAATTTTTCCTTTTCTAGTGACCTGTTATAATGGTAAGATTGTTAGATAAATAAATGTTTAAAATTTTTTTTACTAGAAAACTGACTTTACTTTACATATGGATTATTTCTCCCATCTGAAAAGGTGTTAATCTTTACTATCTATATTTCAGCAAAGATCAAGATCTCGAAAGCCGTCTTATGCCGATGCTCAAAGAAATCTTACATGAAAGAGGCCAACGATGCATAGAGGATTTGCGGACATTTATTTCAGATCATCAAGTCAATGAATCAAACATAAATGAATTTAAAGAGAAAAATCATATTGACTAGTTTTAAAACGACTTCTTTAAAGCTTGTGTATAATAATTTCTCTTGTTTATTCTCTTACGGCATTTAGCTAAGTTTACATTTCTCTGTATGAAGATCGTTGTTCCGTAGACATTTAAGTTTGTGTAACTGACTGTTTCATTGATTATATTCTTCCAAAAAATACACATGATTTTCCGATAAGCAGTAACAATATAGCTGTTTTTCTTGAAATAAAATACACGCATCGAATTTCGGTTTCTTATACGAATAACTTATCTAACAAAATTTATTATTTATTTTATATTTTAACACAAATATTAGTACAAAGGGGCACCGAATACACATGCGCCACACAACTCACTTGATTTGTGAGCGGGCTGTGATACTGCCCGGGTGCCCAAACCGAACCAGGTGGTTTTCTTAGGGGGCCACACCTAGAGCCTTCGACCTACATGTCTGATCCACAAGGCAGTGGAGCATCGTAAGGAGATGCAGTCCCATGGTAGTCGGTGACCAACGATTGGTTCATACGCTATTTGTCCCTTCAGGATCCTGGAGCCCATGTGCACCATTGGTTTAGAATCAGGGTTTTCCAACTCCCCTAACTGAACTCTCCATGTCTACCGACCCGGTTAAAGGGCCGGACGTTCGCTTTTCGTCCTCTCAATTTCGTAAACAACACCCGTGGTGCGAGAAGGCAGTGAGCAGGACTTCCCTGGCGGAGGCTATATACGCGTGGTCATGTGAGAGCATTTCGAGAGGGCGGGCGGGCCCACCCCACTCGGTCATACCAAGGCATTTGGGGGTAATATCTAACAAAAACGTTTGATCGCTGATCTTAATAAAAAAAGACTCAATAATTACACATTAACTTATTAGTGATTATCTTTACATACTGAAGCTATATACATCTAATCATATTTGTTGATTCTTAAGTTGATCTGTGTGCAGGTTGTCCGTCGATGAAGAGACATCATCCATAAAAGGAATTGCTGCTGAATCGTACCATTTCTTGTTTTCGGGGTTTCCTATTGGGAAAAAAAGATACCGAAGATGTTCTTTATGAGTTACGCTTAAACTTACGTGTTGGGACTTTCCTTATCCTATCAGATGTATGGCCTACTGTTAATTGTTGCTGCATAATCCACTTAGGTTCGCTATGGTTATCATTGGACATACACGAATAATTTCCTCTCTCTTCTACCTGCAATGTTCAGAAAAAAGTTTAACTTGCACTAATCTTGATTTGTAACATTTCGTTTAACAAAATAGTATTGCCGATCTTCGCGAAACAGGTTGCATGTACATTTATCGTGAGTCATCTAGTATGTTTGATTAGTCGCCTCAGCATCAAAGAGAATGTCACGTAATTTAAACTCCATCTTATACATTTGGGTACTTTCGATATCAAATCATACTCATACCTAATCTAAAGTGGTCTTATTCTTTCTACCAATCAACATTAGTCAGTTGTATTGAGTAGGAATGTATGTAGATTTTTGTAAAATCAAAGGTCACTTTTAATCTAATATTTCGTGTTGGTGAAGCTTAAGGTCCCAAGTGGAAAGTACTTGTTTACTATAGTGTTATCTATGCAGTCCACTCGGTTGTGTCGCATATTCTGTCTTATATTTGCTTACTTGTCCTCGGTACGCGGTTGAGTAACCTTATCATGGTTTTGGAAGAATATGCACATTTTATAACTTTATAGGACGGTCAGTTTTTTCATGGCTTTGGTGAGTAATGGTGGCAAGTAAATCCCGTAGATAAACTTAGTCGATATTTTGTCTACAGTAAAACTCAGGATTCATGCACTTACACAGACAGGTCAGTGAGTAGTGAATAACGTCATTTCCCTTACTCTTGGTCGGATTCTGTTAGTCGAGTTTCAGTTTGGCAATCAGTCTGATTGAAATAACATCACATGTACTGTGCTTGGATGCTGGGTAGGATTGATATATTTTCCAGCTGCTTTTGAACTTGTCATGAAGGTCAACCGATGCTACTTATGTGGTTAACACCTGGGTCATTTGAGTTACATTACATTGTTTACTGCTCTGTGAGCTGTCATTGAATGTCTTAGTCGCTATCCAAATAGCTTGATGGTGACGTGGAAGACTGATGGTAGTCATTATAGGTTTAAATCTTGAAGCATCAACTCCTCAGAGATTTCACGTAAGGTTTGCTGACGAAGATGTGTCCCGAGTTCCCTTCCGACTGCTCGACAAGATAAATAAGTGAACAATATTGAATGCAGAATTTCCCTAATGAATAACAGGCTCCTGAACTAGTACTTTGTGCAATGTAGAAGGGATGTCTTTAATCAACAACAACTGGCAGTGTAGACGAACATTTAACTCTCATAGGTTGCAAATAACTTATATGTCGTCGATTTCCATGCAAGTGTGCACAGTTCAGTAATTGACTGTCGGCCACTAGTCTGCTCTAAACCTTACCAAAATGGTGGGTTTGTACTTACTGCTTCGAAAGTGTCAGAGTCCATTTTGAGGTCCAATACACAGCTTGAGTCATGTAATATTACCATAACACAAGTTAGTGTTGAAACGTAGATTTATATATTCAGCTTTGAGTCATACATTGCGTAGTGGACAGTTGTACTACTGGATTGTTTAACTCGAATTAATTGGAATGGTATTTTCAGCCGATCAGCAGTAAGAGAAGGATGTGCTCTACGATTGCGTATGGACGACTTCATTTCCGCGATAGGAAAAGAGGTTCAATTTATCTCTAGTTTCCGGAAACTGGCGCTCTGAAGATTATTTACCACTTTTAACACTATATTAGATAGGAGTGTTCATTAGGGTTGAAAAATGAGACTGAGTCGTCCGTCATAAATTTTCTTGAAGTAGGCAACTACATTAATTGTTTATATCGAAAATGTTGATAGTGAGTGTAGCTTATTCACAACAACCGTTTGTTCTGTATATATATAACTTACTTTGTTAATTTTATCGGATTGAAATGTTTTCTTTTGGTTCGTAATCGGAAACTAAAACAAAAAAAATGTGTAGGTAGGTTATGTACTTCAAAAACGTCGTCGATTAATTTCAGTCCATAACCCTATTTTCATGCGACTGTTTTATCCAGTATTCCCAACTATGTAAGGAAGATGATTTACGGTTTCATATACTGATTCATATATGTGTGCTATTTAATTTTAGTGGTTTGAGGACGTCAAAATGAAAAGTAACAGATCTCAATTATACATGAATCCAGATCTAAAGTGTATATTCATATGAACTGAACAAACATCTCTTTCTATTTTTTAGTGTTCCAGATTTGAATTGATCGTAATCCTTAATTGAATATTGTGCATTAAGCTTAAATTGTTTACATCAGAAATAGTTGTCAATGAAACAATCACTGACCCTTATAGTTTGTTGATGAGTTATTACAGACTATACAATTTGTCGGCAATGTCAGTCTTCTGCTGTATACTGAGATCTCACAACCTGAATGTCAATACATAGAGTGCTTCCAGGAATTTTAAACTATCCAATATTTTAATGAATTCTGATAAATTTCTTGAACCTATTGCTAGACAGTCATGTAAATAATCAGTTTGTTTAATAAATTACTTTGATAAAAGATGATTGTTTAAAGTGAAAATTTCTAGTTAATAAAAAGTATAGCTAAATTTTGAAAAGAATCAACTTACTCCGCGGGATGTTTTATTCGATTTCTTTCTCAATGTTCGTAGAATAATTAAAATCACACAAATTGTGATAATTGCTACTAACGCTACGGCTATAATAACTGTAGCCCTTTGTTCTTTCTGTAAATAAGTAATGTATTGAGAAAAAAAATAACAGTAATAATAATAATAATTATATTATGAAATTATTTAGAAATAAAATCTTTTAAGAAATTTGGTTTGACAGTATTCAGTATTACTCTAAAAGCACTACTATGTAACAGTAAGAATTCAGTAACATTAGATTGTTTAAATTACTTTTCTACATCTTGTAATGTTTTGATGTGATCAAGTGATCTGATACACGGAAACTATGAACTAATCACAATCGGTTAGCACTAATGGATAATAAATATTGTTGAACTTCTCTTGCACTTTATGTCTCAATGAGCTATAAAGAATTAATTGTTATTCATGAAAAATAAAACTTAGATGATTTCTATTTAACAAATTCAAGTACTCAAAAGAAAAATGGTTTATGGTGTTTAGTTCAACCGTAGAACAGATTATAAATAAATAATATATTTGTAATATCCAAATGAGCAGAAAATTAGATTTTCTGACGTTTCGAGACTTAGTGTAAGTCACTTCAGAGAATAAATAAAAAAACAGATTGTCTAATAAGATTATTCGAACTACGTAGTAGTAGTAGTAGTAGTAGTAGTAGTAGTAGTAGTAGTAGTAGTAGTAGTAGTAGTAGTAGTAGTAGTAGTAGTAGTAGTAGTAGTAGTAGTAGTAGTAGTAGTAGTAGTAGTAGTAGTAGTAGTAGTAGTAGTAGTAGTAGTAGTAGTAGTAGTAGTAGTAGTAGTAGTAGTAGTAGTAGTAGTAGTAGTAGTAGTAGTAGTAGTAGTAGTAGTAGTAGTAGTAGTAGTAGTAGTAGTAGTAGTAGTAGTAGTAGTAGTAGTAGTAGTAGTAGTAGTAGTAGTAGTAGTAGTAGTAGTAGTAGTAGTAGTAGTAGTAGTAGTAGTAGTAGTAGTAGTAGTAGTAGTAGTAGTAGTAGTAGTAGTAGTAGTAGTAGTAGTAGTAGTAGTAGTAGTAGTAGTAGTAGTAGTAGTAGTAGTAGTAGTAGTAGTAGTAGTAGTAGTAGTAGTAGTAGTAGTAGTAGTAGTAGTAGTAGTAGTAGTAGTAGTAGTAGTAGTAGTAGTAGTAGTAGTAGTAGTAGTAGTAGTAGTAGTAGTAGTAGTAGTAGTAGTAGTAGTAGTAGTAGTAGTAGTAGTAGTAGTAGTAGTAGTAGTAGTAGTAGTAGTAGTAGTAGTAGTAGTAGTAGTAGTAGTAGTAGTAGTAGTAGTAGTAGTAGTAGTAGTAGTAGTAGTAGTAGTAGTAGTAGTAGTAGTAGTAGTAGTAGTAGTAGTAGTAGTAGTAGTAGTAGTAGTAGTAGTAGTAGTAGTAGTAGTAGTAGTAGTAGTAGTAGTAGTAGTAGTAGTAGTAGTAGTAGTAGTAGTAGTAGTAGTAGTAGTAGTAGTAGTAGTAGTAGTAGTAGTAGTAGTAGTAGTAGTAGTAGTAGTAGTAGTAGTAGTAGTAGTAGTAGTAGT